TCTGAGCCCAAAGCTGCCAAGACCCTCTCTGATGCTGAAGCTCTTAAGGCCTTAAAAAACTAACCTACACTGAAGAGTTTAATTTTTGTGCCATCACTCCAAAATTAAAGGAAACCATTTCAGTTATTAATGCGGCATACAACACTTTAAAACGTGTTGGTCAGCCTGTAGTTTCTACCAGTGCTGTTCCCAGTCTAGGCTCCCTTAGGGCTCTCAAGACAGCCAAGACATTTCTGCTGTACCCGCTATTTGCAGTCTTCCTTTATGGTCACTGAAAGAATCCTGACATATTGTGTGTCTTCTATATGTTTTAGGAGGACTTTGTTTAAAAATGGATTGCCTCCTCGGTGGTTTCTGGCAGCTTCCTGTGTTAACAAAGCATAGACGATCCCAGTGGAGGATGCACCTGTCTTGAAGGACTTCATATTAAATGGCTGAAGGCCTTTTTAAAAAAAAACTGTTCTCTAGCTGACTGGGATAGGGCCATCAGAAGGGATCTGTTCCCTATTACAGATGATTCCTTAATCATAGCATGTCAGAAACTCATGCCTGCAGTCAAACTACAGTGTGCATGTGTTAGAATTCCCAGAATGGGCCTAACCCTAATGGTGAGAGAAGGAGAGAAGCGCCTCTAAGTGCAATATGACTCTTTATTAAAAGTTTATGTTTCAAGCTGCTTGAAAAAGGAGCGCACTTCCGCCTTCCACGGCCAGTGCATACTCCAAAACGCATCGCAGTGCATCCTGGGTGTCTGACATCATCACGGCCACGCCGCCGCTGCGCTCCAGCGTGCATTCCACCAAGCTCAGAGGGAGGACGTGCACGCCGGCCTCACCGCTGTTCTCCTCCAGCTACCACGCTGCTCCAGCGACAAGCTGACCGCTCCTCACCGCAGCAGATGACGGCTTCTCACCCTGAAGACCACCCTACCTTTTCACCACGGTTTTTATGCCCATACATTATCTATGTGAGTGTTCCTACACATAAACTTTTAATAAAGAATCATTGTCAGGGATCCCCGCGGCGCTGGTTCCGGCGCAGGTGCAGTGCGCCGCCTTGTGCAGGGACGCGGGCACTAGGTCCTGGCCGGCCGCGGCGTCCGGGTTCGCGCATGCGCACTAGGAGCCGCGGGCATGCGCCTGGCACCAATGACGGCGCAGGGCGCGATATTTAAACGGCCCTGAGCTGTCATTCAGTGCCTTCTGGTCTTACCTGCATTCCTGATCCTGTGAACCTGTATCCTGTAAGTTGCTGACCCGGATTGTACCTGACCACGCTGTATTCTCCTGCTCTGACCTTGGCTTGTCTGACCTCTCTCCCGGATGCCCCCTATTTTATCTGACTTTCTGTTACTGACCTGGCGTGTGACCCGACTATTCTCTGCCTGCTGCTTTGTACCGCACATCGTCCCCACGGCTCCCGACCTGGCTCGTCTGACCTTGCACCTGCTCAGCCATCCATCCATCCCATCGGGGTCACCCGACCTCCTCATATCAGGCTCTCCCCTTCGGGAGCCCCTGGCGAATACCCCTACCACTGACGGGCGTGCTCAGTAGTCATGACCTGTCTCAGGGTACTCCAAGTCCATCCCCACCATCAGGGGCCCTGGTGAACAAGTACTCTGGGGCTTAGATTCCGTGCTCTGGGAACGCCTGATCAGTGGAGCGCTAGTGGTACCGCCGGGCGGTCCCTTACAGTCATATTGCACTTAGAGGCGCTTCTCTCCTCTCATCCACAGAGTCTGCTACAGCCTATTTTGAAGCTTTGCCCTCAGTGCTACATGGACCACCATTACCCCCAACTAGACTACTAAAGGCTCTCAGCAGTGATTGCGCTGATACACCCCCCTCATTCCTTCTAACCCTAACGGTGAACTTGAGGATAAGTGTTGGTCTGGGGAACCCGCATGCAAGAAGCATTTGTTTTGCATGCCCTTTCAGGGAGGTCTCTTTGGAGCGGCACTGGACAACCTCATCAAGAATGTTACTGGGGGAAAGATTATCCCATCCATCTTCAGCAGAAAAAAACCTAGGGTTCGGGCTAGGAAGGCTCACTCCTCATTGGAAGAGTCCTTTTTGTTACTCGCAGGACTCGATTTCCAAAGCCAAGTATGGTTCCCAGTCCATCTGCCCACCCTGAACCTCCATCCTTCCTTTAGATCTCAAGTCCCTAACTGTCTGTGTGGGCCCAGAAATTCCAAATGAAATCAACCTTGTCACTGGACATTAACAACACGTACCTACATGTTCCCATTTCTCAGTACATCAGCGATTCCTTCACTTTCGTGTGGGTTCTCCCCACCTACAGTTTGTGGCACTGTCATTCCGCCTCTCTTCTGTACCTTTAGTGTTCAACAAGTTGCTAGTCCCTGTGTTAACCTTTTTGTGCTCCCAGGACATTGCCATTCTGGAATACATAGCCTTCTGCTGAGAAAACACTCGGCTCCGGTTCTGGCACACAGTGTATCAGAAACCGTCCAGAAGTGTGGAACCAAGTCGCTACTTAGGATATTTTGGTTTTATGCTGTTCGCTGCTCACTCCAGAGTTTTCCTTCCACAGGAGGAACTTTCAACTCCCAGACTGTCCCATTTGTCCAGTTCTACCTCAAACCCCTACAACATAACATCCTGTTGTCATTGGCCAAGTTGGTTCATTCCTTGTACAGACCTATATGACTGGTTCTGGAACCCTTCTTTGTGGTTGGGGAAGTGCTTCTCCAGCTCAATCTCATGGAAGATCCTCATGAAGGATGCCAGCCTGTCAGGCTGGGGAGGAGTCCTAGATACCCTGTCAGGGCAGGGGTTTTGGAGAAATCTTGGCCCCCAATCAACATTCTGGAAGATCAGGAATTCTGGATGGTTCTGAAATACTGGACACCCTATCTGGTTGGTCATTCAATCAAGATTAAGTCGGGCAACGCCACTCTAGTGCAGTACATCAGTTATCAGGGGAATCAAAATTTTTGCTGTGACAAGAGAAGTAGAAAGCATTCTGTCCTGGGCAGAACTTCACACTTCAGCCTTGTCCTTGATTTAAAATGTCAGGCATGGACAATTGGCAGTCAGACTTCCTCTGCCATCAGTGCCACATTGTAAATGCTACATGAATCATCTGCCCTTACTCAAGATGGCCACAACCAGAAATGCTAAATGGTGCTTCTCAAAGTGATTTCTTAGCAAAATAAAGCATGGAGACTTGGAAGGATGGGGGGATTGCTTTGATTATTAAAAATGAATAAAATAGCATTTTTGCTTTGTGGTGCTCAGATGCAGTTTAGTTCTGCTTTAAAGCCATCTTAGGTAGGTTTGTTGTGGAGGAACTTGTGTCTGCACAAAGCCCTGACCTCCACCCCACCCTTGGTATAAATTTGAACACTCATTGTGAGCCAGGTCTTGTCAACATCAGTGCCTGATCTCACAATTCCTCTTTTAGCTGAATGGGCAAAAATATTCAGACACACTCCAAAGTCTTGTGAAAAGACTTCCCAGAAGAATTTCTTTTTTATAGTCTTTTATAGATGCAAATGGACTCAATGGGCACAGACACTCCAAAATCATGAGAAAGCCTTCCCAAAAGAGTGGAGGCTGAAATAACCACAAGCAATGTGGAATGTCCATATTAATGCCCATGGTTTTGGAATGGAAAGTCCAACAATCCCATATAGGTGATGGATGGACAGGTGCCCACAACCTTTTGACCATACGGTGTATCTGAGATAAGTAAGGATAAATAGGCAATATCTTGGCAATATGTGTACATTCTTTAGCTTTAGTCACCGGCCTCCCTGCAGCTGATAATTTCCCCATGACCAGCTTACAATGCCTTTGTTCTGTACTGTGTCTTTGATCATAGAATCTGGGCTTTTCTTCCACATATCAGAGCTTCCCCTTGATGACTAATGATCATGGTTTGGCATTAGAACATTAGTGTTACTAAACCCACAACAGTACAATCAGTCTTTATATGTAGTAAAGCATGCTTGTTATACTCACTGTGGAACCTAAGGGGTTAATCCTCTGCATTGTATAAAAAGGCTATTTGATCCTGTCTTCTCTGATTCTCCCCTTCTTCCAATGTTCCCCTCTTATCTCCTGATAAGATATATCGTGTGGAGTCACTGCACATACTCAGTTTAGTGTGTATTGCTAGAGAGGGTTTTTTTTTCTTGGGAGAGTGCATGTGATCAGCACAGGGCCAATCAGCACTGTCCAGACAGAGGTCAAGGGTTCTGTATCCTCCTAGAGCAGAATTAAAACTCCTACAAGCTTTAATGTCCTCTGCTGGACACTGATAAAAGTCGGAAGACTGCTCTAACTGCTGATTAGAAAAGGTAAATTAGCAGTTTATATTTACTAAAATAATTGCATTTCCATGTTGTGTGTACTGTGGGAGACCAGATATAGTGAATGCAGGGTCCGGGGAGACCAGATATAGTGAATGCAGGGTCAGGGTCGGGGAGACCAGATATAGTGGGGAGTGCAGGGTCTGGGGAGACCAGATATAGTGAATGCGGGGTCCGGGGAGATCAGCAGGGTCTGGGGAGACCAGATATAGTGAATGCAGGGTCCTGGGAGACCAGATATAGTGAATGCGGGGTCCGGGGAGATCAGATATAGTGATTGTAGGGTCCGGGGAGACCAGATATAGTGAATGCAGGGTCCGAGGAAATCGGATATAGTGAATGCAGGGTCCGGGGAGATCAGATATAATGAATGCAGGGTCCGGGAGACCAGATATAGTGAATGCAGGGTCCTGGGAGACCAGATATAGTGATTGCAGGGTCCTGGGAGACCAGATATAGTGATTGCAGGTTCCTGGGAGACCAGATAGAGTGATTGTAGGGTCCAGGGAGATCGGATATAGTGAATGCAGGGTCTGGGGAGATCAGATACAGTGAATGCAGGGTCCGAGGAGATCAGATATAGTGAGCGCAGGGTCCGGGGAGAGCAGATACAGTGATTGTAGGGTCCTGGGAGACCAGATATAGTGAATACAGGGTCCGGGGAGATCAGATATAGTGATTGTAGGGTCCGGGGAGACCAGATATAGTGAATGCAGGGTCCGGGGAGACCAGATATAGTGAATGCAGGGTCCGGGGAGACCAGATATAGTGAATGCAGGGTCCGGGGAAATCGGATATAGTGAATGCAGGGTCCGGGGAGATCAGATATAGTGAATGCTGGGTCCGGGGAGACCAGATATAGTGAATGCAGGGTCCTGGGAGACCAGATATAGTGATTGCAGGGTCCTGGGAGACCAGATATAGTGATTGCAGGGTCTGGAGAGACCAGATATCGTGAATGCAGGGTCCTGGGAGACCAGATATAGTGAATGCAGGGTCCTGGGAGAGCAGATATAGTGATTGTAGGGTCCTGGGAGACCAGATATAGTGATTGTAGGGTCCTGGGAGACCAGATATAGTGATTGTAGGGTCCTGGGTTTAGTAACACTTTAAGCCCCAACATGTCTTGCCTGGCAATACATGAAGATATTGCACCTCAACAACTAAAAGACTGCACATTACCCAGCTATGCTTTGCTTGCTGAGAGCTTGAAGTGAAACTAAACTGCATCTGAGCACCACAAAGCAAGAAAACTATTTAATTCACTTTATTATCCACTTTTTTATTATTCAAAGCAAACTCACCCATCCACCCATGTCTACATGCTTTATTTTGCTGAGAAATCACTCCTTAGCATTTCTGGTTATGGCCATCTTGAGATTAGGGCTGATAATTATGTCACATTTACTTTCAGGAATCCATCTGCCCTTAGCTTAGACAGTAAGGTGTGCTTAGTTGACATAATTTGCCCTGGCCTGGAAACCAGGAAGCAACTGAAGAAATGTAAAAAAAAACGTTTAAAAGAAGTAAATGTGATATATTTCCAGCGAGTGAGATTCAGCTTTACCTGAAAGTTAGATATTCTCATGCTCTGCCAGTTCTAGTTCCAACTGGTGTCAGCAATACCCCTCAGTCATCATTAGAGGGCAGTCTATGCGCTTTGTGTAAGACTCCTTTAACCCAATATTAAGCCCCTTCTCTCATGCAAAGCTGTTTCAAAGACAGCAAAACAATTTCAATCATTTCTGTTCCAGAATTAGGTTTATGTAATGGACAGGTTTTTAAATCATGTAATATTTTATATTGCTGCTAAGGAACTCCCTTGTGTTCAAATGCATATGTTCTATT